GTGTGTGTGTGTGTGTCGGGGCCTCGGACCCCATGGAGCTGGCTACTTCAGTGAGAGCCACAGGCTGAGCATGACTGCATGTTGTCTGAGTAAACTTGAATAGAGCTCCCTGTTCTTTGTACTCGAGATGCTTACAGTCGTCTATTTCTTTGTTTTTGGCAGCACACCACCAATATGGGACGGACGACAGGGTTAAACTACCCAACTTGACAGACGAGGAGGTGAACTGGCAGGGACTGGAGGATCTATATAGCATAAACGAAAGCCTTTATGAATGTAGGCCTGAGTACAGCCCCAGCCCGGACAACTGGGTCAACTTCCAGAAGGATGTAGATAATATATTTGCACTGCTACACGTTTTAAATAAATTCAACCAAACCCATGAGCTCGACGACTCCACCCTGCCAGAGCTGGGCTCCGGGGCCGGGGGTGGAGGCCTTGAAGGAGGCAGCGGAGAAGACTCAGCCTTGGCCAGCGACGTCTGGCTCACGGCGGCTCGCCTCACCACCCCCGCCCCCAGCAAAACGCCACCAGCACCCCCCACCCCCAAGCCCACACTGGAACGGAAACTGGAATCTGTTGTCAACGACCTTCCTGAGAGGCTTTTAAACAGACCTGGGGTGTCTGTTATGTCACCGGTGACGGTGTCATCGTCGGGTCCAGGAAGAGACGGGGTTATCTTCAGTAGCGACGTGTGGGCGCAGCAGCTGGAGGAGATGGAAGGAGATCTGTTTAGCGGGAACGGACTGACGGAGCTGGAGACACGACACGACAACCTGCTGCGTACTCACAACAGCCTGCACGGAGAGGAGACCGGCCCTCAAGGTCTTGGGCTGGGCCTGGACCTCGAAGAAGAGGAGGACATATTCCAGGCCCAAGGCTACCTCCCTTTCTCCCCACAGACACTGAGACCCAAGGGGCAGGCCAGCACCACCGGGAGCCCCCCCACCACACAGACTAGCACCCCACAGAGTGTTGGGTTGGTACTACAGGTGCTGCCTCAGGCGGCGTTGCCCCTCACCTTGGACTACGAGGGCAGCGGCTCTCTGCCTCAACCCTCCAATCAGACCCTCTAAAGCAGACGCATGCGCTGGCCAGCCAGCCAATGAGCTGCCGGTCGCCATAGAGACACAGAGACACAGTGATTGGGAGATGAGCTTGCCAAGAGCAATGGCAAGTGATGCCACCTCAGTCAGTCAGAGTTGTATAATGAGTATTAAAGTTATTGTTTATTTTTTTACAGGTGCCTACATTTATTAGTAAACAGTGTTATGTTTTTTTTTTTTCCTTCAAATATATATTTAGAAAAGAAAAGGCCTTAATGCAGCTAAACTTAAGTTTTGGTATTAAAAATGATTTATTCCATATGGATAACACCATTGATGTTTTTAATAGATGTTTTTTATGAAAAACAAGTGTGAGTGGTGAAACCTTTTCAACATCTGAACGAGTAGCTAGCATCAGTCAGCTTTAGGTACGCTCCAGCCTTTACAGGCTGTATGGACCACAGGACGCTCCATCAGAACACCACCTCACTACATATAGATAAAGGCAACATTGGACCCCAAATGCACTTTTGAACTTTGCCCTCCACTTGTTTGCGGATATGAAAGTTGTGTCCATTGTGAAATCAGATTTTATGAATACTTTTTCAAACTGGATTGTCACTCCAGAAAAAGTTACAGAATCAACCATGCACATCTGTTTTCTTATTTTGCCACATGGGAATATTTTTAACTTCTTGCCATTTTTCATTAAATGGTGTCAGACAATTTAGATAATCATGGGGCAGTTAAACGGTTAATATACTGAATAACACAGCCGCGGCAAACACATTCACTATTTACGGATTAGTTACACCACTGTACCAGCTCTTAATTTGTGTTGTAGAGTCACTTTTCACAGCGTTTGATTTTTAACATCGGTAAAAGTATCCTTCCTAATCACAAGCAAATGCGTACACGATCACCGGGGGTTTGAAAATGTTCATTGTGTAACTTTTTGGGAAATATCACCAATTTAATCATGTGGTGTATGATGTAGTGCTTTGATAATCCAGAGTATAGTGTCCCACATGGCCAGTGCATTTAGAATGTGAACTGTATAGTCCTTTAAAACTCAGTATGACGGCACACTCAGCTTTGTCTGACAGTATAGTCAGTAAGACACTCAGATGTAGCCTGAAGTTAAATATTTCAGGGCCATCGAGGGCAAAATGTTTAACCTTTCTTCCAGTAGTTCATCTTTGCTGTTGGTTGTAGTGTTGGTGCTTCTTAAGAGCGACTGAGATGTTCGAAAACTGGTCCTGCAAAAACCTGATGCTGTCCTTTTCTTTCTTGACAGTGTGTGTAGAAGTGTTAGAACAAGTCTGGTTTCAGGAAAGCCATGAAGCTGAAATAAACTCTTTCAACCTTCTGGGCGATGTTTTGGACTCAAGTGTTGTTGTACCACCGCATGTCACTGTAAACAATGTGCAATCATTTAAATCAGCCGAGTCAATTTTTACATTTTTTTTTTAATGACAAATATCAAGTATTCAAGGCATTTGTAAACCAAGTGTTCACAAACATCGATTAGACTTCTGCTCCTAAGGAACAAAAGCAATAAGAGCTCAACTTTCAGAATACAGCTTCTGTTCTGTCCAGGAAATTCACTTTCAGTTCAAATACAGATGAAAGGAAAATGTGTTAAAGCAAATCTACATACAACCTGAAGTCATCTGTCAGTAGTCTTCCAGGCATTGGAACAGCAGGACGCTGTAGTAGCTGTACAGTAAAGGCAGGCATCCCTGCTTTCACTGTAATCTGTGTGGCATCACTGGATGATTCTCCACCCTTCCTTCATGTATTTTTACTCCATGTTCATTGGGTATTTCATCAGAACAGAATTCATTAAGTAATACATAATTAATTGTAAGATGACTCAGCAAGGATCGCATTTAGATTTCCAGTCACGTTAGCAGGCGACCTGATCAATAATCCTACACTGGTATTCCCTTTCTGAGCCTGAGGAATACAGAGCACTAGAGGAAAGGCAGAGAATCATTACAGATGGAGAGAAGGGCATTTTGGGTAGCATAACTTCAGAATTTAAATTCTTGAATTAAAAAAGTCAATTGTGTATTCTTGACAGAAAAAAAAAAAATGCATTGCAATAACCCAACTCCCTCCCCACATGTAAAGCGAACTCTTCCCGAGTGAATAATACTGTTCAGGCACCGCGAGACAAATCCACCATGTTCTTTTTTCTTTTTTTTTTTTTTAACTACAATGTCATGGGTTAGTTCATAAATATGCTTCTAACTATGTGTGAGCTCTATAATACGCTTCATTTGCTTTGTCAATATTTACACGATCACTTATGAATATGTAATTTGAGGTACCAAGTCACAATAATAAAATTAGTCACTGCCATTATCGCTTCATAATCTTCACCTGGCTGAATCCTGGCCAAAACTGTTAACTTTTAAAATGTATTCACTGCAGCAGAATCTCCATTCCTTTGCAAACTTTTATAATCAAAATGAAGTAGAACTGATCAGGATATAAAATACATATAACTTTATTAGACTTATTCTATATTTACCCCCTCCAGAAAAGAAAACAAATACTAACACAAACGTGGACTTCAAAACATGTGCCACAGATTTGACTTTTTAAACACGAAACAGCTTTTTTTTTTAAAACATACAGACCATTATTCACACCTCTCCTGTTTCTCTGCCCTATTCAAAGGAAGGTAAATCCATCAGATACTTAAGAAAATAACATGAGCCCAAGGTAAAAGAAAATTAAACTATTAAAACAGTTAAGGCTCATGCAAGCAACGTGTCTCTGTTCAGGCACGTTAACCTGATCTGGACTTCACTGAACTAGCAGACAGAATCTTAAAATACTTATCATAATCATGTAACTTGCGAGCATAAATGTCAAAGACAGCGGGTCATCTTTTGCTCGGGTATATCTTTGGGAAACTGGAGAGCTAAATTCAGTGCAGTGATTAAGTTTAATAATTAACCTTTTAACCAAGAATGTCATAGTACAGTAGGTCTGACCAACCGCAACATTCACTGGCCTTCACACAATCATCTCCCTGTCCACTAGAGGGCGCCAAACGCCCAGGAACTGAATAAATCAACGTCAGATTACTCTTGCTGATAAAAGGAGGTTCACTGTTTTAACATGCTTGACGCACTAGTTTCTTTTAAAAGCCTAGACTACTAGATAACTACTATGTACATCTGATGACCAATAGAATGGAGAAGCCATTACAATACAAAGCCAAAATGACGCGTCCTTTCATCTGCCGATTGTTGCGCTAGATTACATACAAATCGTTTTACTTTAAAGAAGTTGTGGTTAAAAGTGGGTCGAATTTGAAAACGGCTGTTTTGCCACATTTTCTTGAATCTCCACTGCATTATCAGTTTCAAGTACACTCACATCTTTTGGACAAACAGTAGCTTTAGCACAGTCAAAGATGAGACACCTTTCTTATTCCTTTCTCCTGTTTGGCTAATTATTACACTATGTAATAATAAAGTAGTGTGATGTGTAATGGAATAAAGATTTCTTGCTCAGTGACAAGACGACTTGTCATAGAAGTCATTAAAACGCTGTACCGTTGGTGCTTGTCGGCTTTGAGCTACACAGATACCTTGCCCAGGCAGGAACTGTCCACTGGGCGCAATGACTCGAGCTCAGTGACAACAGTTCCCCGAACACAAAAGCTGAGGGCAACAAAGCAGAATATTGTCGCTCAACTGAGAGGACAGTGACTGGCTTTTTCACTAGCTACCATTTACCCTGGTAGCTAGCTTTGTATACTGGACTGGCCGAGACAGCCTGAGAGGCACTGTTACGAAAAAGGAAGAAAGAAAAAAAAGGAGGTGAGAGGATTCATTAACCAGAATAGAGAACAGGGTGGAATGGCTCAAATACAAGACAGACTGCTGATATGTTCACAGCTCAGACTGTAGGCAAAAGTGAAATTATGAATGAGCAGACAGTAACGTGTGTGTGTGTGTGTGTGTGTGTGTGTGAGTGTGAGTGTGAGAGAGAACTGAGCAGGGTAGAAGAAAGAGGTACAGG